TTTATTCGTTTCGAAGAGTCGGAGAAATGCAGGAAATTCCATCGGAAAATTTCATTCGCTTTACGAGAAACACGCGAGCAATGGCAATGTTAATGTTAATGTTAATTTGAATTTGAATTTGAATTTGACTTTGAATTTTCAATCGAACGTTGAATTGAATTTGACTCTACTGCTGCTCCGCTAGAGAAACGACTGCAGAAAGGATATATCCAGTGTGATCTAGCGATCCGAATCGAGCGATTTGATCGACGACTCGGCCGACGCTTCCTTTTTCCCTCCGGTTTCGTTCCTTTTTTCCCCGAGGATGAATTCTTTGAAAGGAAAAGAAGAAGGCAAAGGAAAAAGATCAGGCATAAGAATCGGTGGTACTCATAAGCCAGCCAGGATATAACAGGTAAAACAGGTTTGTGGGCGTCCAGAAACGTGGGCTACCTGCATTGCTTCTCGAAGGGGTCCTTCTTCAAACTCGCCTGCCAATTCTTGCGGAAGAAAACCCGAAAAAGGGGAGAAGCACGGCACCTATGCACCTGTTCGTTAAGTAACGACGATTAACGTCCCTGGAACGGCGTTTCGTGATTTTATCTCTAAACAAATGATCGCGTACCGAACAGCCTGAGCGTGTCATTAAATTCGTCGGATTCGTGTTGTTTCTTTCGAAAGAACGATGTATCAGCGGTAGTTTGCGCCAATAATAAAACGATCATTATCTTAATGTGTGGTAAAGTGAATGAATTAAACGAGCAAAAAGCAGACGGTGGCCTCCTCTCGTCGGAGAATATCTTGGTAAACGTCGAATCGAGCTTTATCTAGTGAAAGGAGGAAAGAGGAAGATTATTTTTTGGAGGTCGACGCGCGCCGTATCGACCGGTTATCTCCTATCAGCTTATCACGATTATTTGACTTGATTACTTCCCGGCAGGTTTGATGATCCATCATCGCCGCCGCAGACGCTGTGAAATTCACACGCTGTGGATTTCTGTTCAACCTGAATGGCGGCACCATCGTCGTCTTTGAATCAGCTCATTAGCAGTTCGATAATCTCTTGCCTAAAATTCACCAGTTCGCACGCTTTTAGATCAGATACCTGTCATATCCGGCGCAGCTGTATATTCGGACGACTGGATTTCCCTCGATTCGGACAAACGATTTACTAACCCGAAACAGCTGACGAGACAAAGTCTCTAATCAACAGGTCGAACCACAAAGACATCCGTTTGTCGGATCGGTCGTATCTGATATCTTGATTAATCGACATTTTTTATTCATCGATAAACTGCAACAGAATTTGCTGTACCCTTTATTTTCCGATACTCTGCATTCTATCTGTCTACTAAAATGTAAACTAAAATCCCATTTTACGTCAATCCCTTCGAGTTAATCCCTGGTAAATAAAGCGAATCGAGAGGTTGACGCTAGGAGAATCGAATAAAGTTCGATAACGGAAAGGAAGAAGAAGAAGAAGAAGAAGAAGAAGAAGGAGAAGGAGAAGGAGAAGGAGAAGGAGAAAACAAGATACACGAAGAGGAAGAAAGTTTACTTCCGGATCGAATGGAGGGGAAGGCTGCGCGCGAGGGTTAATAGGGGTCGTTAACGCGTCGAACAGTTCGAACTGTTCGCAGTGTGCAGCGTAGAGGCGAGAGTGCGCGATATCCGAAGCGGTTCGGGCGCGTCCGTCTATTGGTGGAAAAAAATCGGCCGGACCTTAGCGGCGGTGGGCGGCGCGATATATCCGGGCTGGGCCGCGAAGAGATTCGCACAGGTCCCCGCGGTCCGCGATCGGACAGTCGGGATCGCGATTACGAGGAAGCTACAAGGAAGTCGGTGAAGGCCCCACCATTTTCTCGTGGCATTTCCCACTCGATTACAACGCTTCGATTATTTCCGTTCGCGCCGTATAACCGGCCCTATCCGTCTGTCCTCGTTCGACTCGGCGGCCGGGCCGTCTCGTTGGTCCATTTGTCTCCGTTCGTCGAACGCGTAACACGGCGCGGGCAGGGTGTCGGGCGCGCATGCGCCCCCTCGCGAGTCTCCCGCGGCGTGCGAGAGAGAGGTGGAGTGGGGGGTGTGGCGGCAAGCTTCCAGCGGTAATCGCGGCTCGCGGCTCAGTCGCTTGCCAGCTTTCAGATCGAACGGATTTTATCGACACGGTGTGCTCGTTGCTTCCGAAGGAATCGCCGGGGCTGAAATATCGGATATAAAATCGTGCTCGAGGTGAAAGGAGATCGGTTTCGTGTTCCACGTCCCTCGCCGGGCTCCCGAGACTTTGCCGCCTCGCTCCCTCGCGAATATCTGTCGTTTAACCTCGTCTCGATAAGACTCGACTCGACTCGACTCGGACTCGAGAGACGGATATAATACACACGCACACGCTACGCGCAGACACGCACGCACACGGACGACCGACACACGAACGCGCGACACACACGCGTACAGAGTGTCTGTACGTGTACGTGTATGCACAGATAGAGAGAAGACGAAAGGGAGAGGGAGGGTGATATATTCAAGTGGTGCCGACTGTGATACACTTAGCCGCGTAGAGAGATAGGCTTTGTGATATACGTACCCGTAACACGCATGGATATTTTGATACCTCTGAACTTTCCTCGTATGGATTCCGAGAGCTGATACATCAGCCTGCAGAAAATCTATCCGGGACTGGTTCTCGACTGTTTCGGCTGTTTTCTTTTCCTCTCGCCGTGACATACGCGTGTGTACGCGTCTATACTCGGTATACGCGATACGCCTGGTGCGAAGACGAATCAAGGTTTACGCACAGTCGTCGCCGGAGATATCGGACTGGACATGTACGAGTAAAGCGCGTAGAAGGTGGCCGAAGGCAGGAGAGAGAAAGAAGAGAGGCGGAAGGAACGATACACGTGCGCGTGGTCGGTGTCTCGAAGATACCTGTGGATGCCAGCCTGGACTCGCGACGTATTAGGGCGCGGATTTCTGCCCGATGACCGCCGAGGGGACTCGCTTCTGCTCGCTAGCCGATCCTCACCACTGATATTACGCCGCATCGGACGGTTTATCGGCCAAGCCGTGATCGAGGTAACGATCTTGTTCACTTCACTTCCTCGATTCTCCATTTATCTCCAAGTGGCCGCGCAATGCTACAATCATTTTAACGTCGGACGATGATATATATATATATATCGTGTAATTTCGCGTATCTAATCTCGCCTCTTCGAAAGGCCAACATTCGCGTACTTTTCCTCGGCCATTGCTTTCCCGCGAACGCGACCCTGCTTCGAACCTCGTTTCGATAAAACGATCAAAGATCCCTTATTTTTTCTCTTCTTTCCCTTTTTTCTCTTTTTTCCTTTGTATCGGTTTATCGGCACGGGTGCACGCGCCGTAGCGTTGTAACGCAGCGTTACGTTTGCGAAAGTAGATTTTCGACTTTAGAAAAATACCTGCAATGCCGTGAGAAAATTGTCCCGGCAGTGCTATTAAAGTAGAAAACGGTTTGTTTCGATCGGATTTTTTTGGCGCACGTTTAACAGATAAATTACTCGACCCACGTGTAAATACCTTGCTTTACTCGCTGTCGGCAACCTGTCTCCTATTGCACGTCCAATCGCAGATTGAACAATCTCGATAATAGGTGGCTTAGCAAAACTAAAATCGATTCGGTGCACCGCGTCAGCCATAGATTAATCGATCGACCGTTTAACGATCATATTTCATTTGAACATTATTACGATTAAATCGTACCTTGTTTTTCAACGTTCTTTTCAGTTGTCGAATGGTTATCGTGTTTGTTGATACTAGAAATTACTTGGTATTGACTCATTTGTTTATTACGACCGTTCGCCGTGTTATCCGCGTGGAGTTGCCATTAATGCTACTTTGTATGCTTCCTTCGTTTTCCGGAAGCGGCTATAAAATGCAATAAATGCGATAAAATGCAAGAGACCGAACAAGGAAAACAGGAAAGGAAGCTCGGTGTGTGTCTCCTTCGGGCGCGTCGCGATGAATCGAAAATGACAGAATTTCAGCCGGCCCCTTTTTGAAGAAATCCTTGGACACCGTGAGAAACGATTAATCTGTACAGAAGCTTACCGTAAACAAACAACTCGTGCCGGATTCGAGCTGCACCGCATTTTTCTTTGACTCGTCCCCTTTCCCAACAATTATTGCGTTTTATGACATTTGTCGTTCGATGGATGACACTTGCACGCGCGGTTGAGAGCCACTAGTGGCCCTACTGTCTGCGGAAGCTCCCGTTAATTAGAACAAAATGCACAGGTGCAGCAAATATTTTGCCAACTGTGAGAACGCATGAAAATGCAATCTGTAATTTTTTACAAAATTGTACATTTATTTTGACAGGAGCTTTCTATTATTTGAACAATTTTTCACATTTAAGTAGAATGAAATCGTAATCGTAATCGTAATCGAGTAGGACCAGTTTGAACGGGCAGTCGGAACGATTTGGTCAACCGATACGAGATTGAACGAGTTAATTCGGAAAATTGTATTAATTAGTAGGCACTGCTAACGGTGATGAAACCTGCGCGAGGATAACGTTTGTCAGTGTACAGTGGGAAATACGTTTTTGTCAGATAGAATTATTGGAAATTCCAATTTTCATGTTGTTGGATAATTATCGAGGAAAACAGGTTCACTCCGTTCCGGGAAATGCTTGAATGCAAGCGTGCCGCATGCTGCTTTACCGATCGGATCGATGCGTCAGTTTCCTTCGTGACATAAGAACAACACGATATTTTGCCTTGATAATCCGTGTATTCGCTATTGCGAAATTATATGTACTCTTAAAGGTCTACGGAAACGGTATTCGCTTGATTTCTTCATTTTTCCAAATCATTAATCGGTGGCTAATCTTTATTTATTGAGCGGAAGAAAATGCAAATTTACAAAAATTTCTCGGCGAATTATTCATCGCATTATAATAACGTTAACTCGATGCATAAATGATAAATGCAAAAATGATGAATGTGCTCGGCATAGACGATGGTCAAAGAATTATTTGAAACGACGGAAGCCTCTTTTCAATGAAAAGTCGATCGATTTTAGATGAAACATGGAGTTTCTTGGAGTTTTCCTTCGGTGAAAAACACAATCCGCGCTTCTCTAACGGAATATACAATACGTATCCGTGAAAAATCTGAAGAGTCGATCGACTATTTCTTTGAATCAGGCTGCACCGTATAATAATATAAATTAAAAATACCACGCCGACCTTTCGCTGTATAAAAATGACGTACGATGTAGGAAATTAATTATGGATGCTGACGAGGCTATGTATATAGATGGTGCATTTCCTTTGAAATCAATAGCAATCTTATGAAAAATGAACGGATCGTTTCTTCGAGGTTGGTTAGCTGGAGGAGATGTTTTGAAACGATTCGATAGTCTAGTCGCCACCTACCTCGTTCGTACTCGTTGTTATTAGGAATAATAATATATTAATGTCTAGTTATTTGAAGCGACACATCCAGGTGTCGGTAATCGGTACCCGAGAGGTTTTCTTGGAACCGCGAGCACCGTAGAGAACCAGTATCCCAGAAGAAAAGTTTAACCTCTCGTCCTCCGCATCACTCAATTTCTAACTGTACGAGGAATTTCTATACTTGTTCCCCCTCCACTCGCCGCTCCCTCCAGAACGCCGGCGTCGTTCCCCCCACCCGACCTTTCTCTCCTATCCTCTTTCTCTCGGTGGCGGGTGTGTAGGCGCGGACACGTGTGTAGACGCGAGTACGCACACGTATGCGGCTGTGACGCGACGGCTAAGCGGACCGACTGTTGCTTACGCTCCTTGATCGTTATTCAGGAAGTTGCACGTTATCATTTACATAACACGTGAGCTCGAACAAAATCATGCATAATTCCTTCCTTCTTAACGCGGCCGTGTTACCGTTTCTCTCTTTGCCTTCGTTCTCTCCCCTCTCCCCTCCTCTTCGGTCCCCTTCTTCCATTCTTTTTTCGTCGTTGTTGTTGCTCCTCTGCTCGGCACGCGGAGAAATAAGAATTTTTCACGGTCGTCCTTGTCCCTTGACTGATCGTGGACCTGCGGTGTACAGCGAACGCGTTGTTTATCTTCCGAGGAGACTTTGCCGTTCCGAAAGTGCGGACATCCGAAAACAGTTCTCTCCCTCGAACGTTGATCCGTTAGCTCGGAGGATCTCGCGACTGTAACGCGCTCGAGGTTTATTAACCTTTTCGCGTTACCGCGTTTCCACTGGGAAAATATCGCAATTCTTTTTAAAATCGGATAGAAGGGTTTGTTCGAAGGAAAGCTAATGGCAAATGGTTCGGATGCAACACGGTACGAGCCGTGTGTGACACAGATTGGAACGTTTTATCGGTTATACCAGCATAACCGGTGGCGGGTCAAGGATTTTCATCAATTATATCCCACCGGTAGGTGACTCGCGCCGCCCTGAACGTATCAACAATGTTTCGTCTCGCGCTTGGCGCAACCGCTCGGTTATTACATTGGAAAATGATATCGCTAACACGATTCGTCGGCAGCTTCGGACGAAAGAAATAACTTTGGGGGAAACACGATTCTTGGTCGTAATTGGATTTTTCTGGTTACGTTGTTAAAGATTCGAATTTGCATAATCGTCCGTATACACCAGCTAACTAGGATACAACGAAGTCGAGAGGGAAAAGTATGAAAGAAAGGGGAGAGAAAAGGAAAGGCGGCAGGTTAATTCCGCGAGGGTTAATCGCGTCAGTTTTCAAGCGAGCGACAACGGGGAAGAAAAAACGTCGCTCTTGGTTAGGTTTTTTCGCCTGAAATTTTCTATCGCGGTCGCGGAGCTGGGAGCTGATAAGAGCTGCAAAGGGGAGGAGGAGCCAAGTGGAACGAAGAGGAAGAGGAAGAGGAAGAGGAAGAGGAAGAGGAAGAGGAAGTGGGTGGCGGCGGGAGGGAGAAGAAAGCCTTTCGAAACATAATTCCGGCCGGAAGAACCGAGAACCCGGAAGCGAGGGAGAGGAAGCACTACGTTCGCGGAATGACGAGGGGTTGGAAAATTCTCTTGGTAGCCTCGGGGTTAGGAACTCGATCGATCGTTGAGATCGCGGGACGAGGTGTCGACGTCGAACCACCTACAAATTTTCACCGTTCCCCTCTACGTTCCCCTCCGCGTAATTGTTCTCGCCGATTTTTCGTGGCCATCGGAACCGACGAAATCTTTTCAATTTCGAACTTGTGCAGTATTTTACTGTTTTCGCATTATCCAGACCACTTTACGTGGCGTATTTTCTTCGAGCTTCGTTTTCCTCTTTCTTTACGTGGTAGATGTCGAGAAAAGACAAAAGTATCGAAGAGAAAGTGCGCTTTCGCTTACGAAAAAGAAAAAGAAAAAGAAAAAGAAAAAGAAAAAGAAAAAGAAAAAGAAAAAGAAAAAGAAAACAGTTGTATTCCGATGTATTAGACAGAAATGGAGAAAATGGAGAAAAACGGACACGGAGAACCCTTTAACGAGACACGCCTAACGAGCAACCGAAAAGGAAGGAAAGGAAAGCGCGTGTACGCGAACAAATTAGTTAAGTGAATCCTTTAATGGGCAATATTTCAGAAAATTTGCGCGTCTCGCGTCCTCTTGGTTCCCTCCGGTCCTCCCTCCGGTCCTCCCTCCCGCAGCGAAGAGAGAACCGGTCTGTATCCGTACCGGAAGCGCGGACCTTGGACTTGTCTTTTTCGCTATCTCCGTCTCGGTCTTTATTCTTTCGAGAAGCGCTCAATTCGGTCGGTTCTCTCTCCTCTCGTCTCTCCTTGTTCTCCAACTTGTTCTTCGTCTTCGCCTTCGTCTTCGTCTTCGTCTTCGTCTTCGTCTTCTTCTTGTTCGGTCACTGTCTCTCTCTCGCCTCCCGCTCCCTTTTCCCTTTCCTCCGGTTCTCGGTAAGCCGTCTCTGGATAGATGGTCCTTCCCTTTCCCGTTCGACCGGTTAATTCCAAGAGGGAGCAAAAGGAAGCAGACGGTCGCGATAGATGGCATCCGGTTCCCCTCTTTCGAGGAAAACCCGAGGAGGAAGTCGCGTTTAAAATACCTTCGGTCCGCGCGCTGCTGCCGCCG